AGGAGCTCCAGTGATTGACTGGGGGCAGCGTGTGTGTGGAGGAGCTCCAGTGATTGACTGGGGGCAGCGTGTTTGTGGAGGAGCTCCAGTGATTGGCTGGAGGCAGCGTGTGTGTGGAGGAGCTCCAGTGATTGGCTTGAGGGCGGCGTGTTTGTGGAGGAGCTCCAGTGATTGGCTGGGGGCAGCGTGTGACTGGAGGGACTGTACGCTTTTAAAGTGGCAGCGCACTTCAGTTATAATACCACTGACAGTAACTTTTTGTTAGGACTGGGTTTTTATGAATCCCCCCTGCATTTTCTTTGATTAAGTCACAAGGCCCTGATTAATACTCTTGCTGGCTAGCAAATACGTTGCCGTCAGTGGAAGTCTCAGGCACTCAGTCTTTGTGGTTGAAGATCTGATTTTTCAAAATTGAGTTCTGATCACTTAAATATTCCTTCAGCTGAATTATTCAGATACTCTGCAGTACCGTCACCAGACTTTTCCCCTCTAGAATGCAATGTTTTTGTCCATATTGGAAGCATAGTTTCAGAGTGTCTTCGTATTCAGTAATTCTCTAACTTTTGTGACCAGATGGGTTGCTTGCTCTTAGTTAACGTCTGTTGAGGGTGGATCATGGTGAACGGATGTATGTTAGGTGTCTGATGTCTCTGGTTAGATCAAGGCTGGGGCGGCTCACTGCTAGGTGACGTGGGCTGAATGTCCTGTTTTCCTCCTTGTGATTCCCTGTTAGAGTGGTAGACCAGGCCGTGGGTGCAGCATGAGGAAGCGCTGTTTTAAACAGTGGAGAAAGCGAATGATATGAGGAGACAGATCAGCAGGCACCGTCCCTTACGTGGAGCTGTTGAGCGGCTGTGCGTGTCTTCCTGACGCCTGTGAAGAGCTGGCCGGAGGAGTATCACATGTAGGCAGAAGAACAGTCTCACAGTCTTTAAGACGCGGGCTGGGGCTGTGGGGTTTCTTTCAGTGGTTGACAAAGGCAGCTGATTTGCAGAGATTGATACTGAAATTCAGATTTTTACCGACAAGAAAACATATGGCCATCGTGTGCGGTTCTGATGTATCCCCTGGCTGTGAGGATAAGATACTTACCCTGATACCAGGTGCTGATAGCAATACGTGTCCCGAAACATGCAGATCATCCAGTGTAACAAATGAGAGAGAAGCAGGTTCCTGCTGTGTTAGTGTTAAGTAATGGAAGCTAAATATTTACTGCCATTCTTAGTCAACAAAACTAGCAGGGGCAAAATAAATATACAGGGTTTCCATCTAATTAAACTTTATATCAGTTTTAATCAAACACCACTTTATCACGAATGCAATTTTTGTTTTTGTTTAAACTTTCCAACCAAAAAATAGCGTGTTAGTTTTTTATCGTGTTTTAGCTGTAACAACCTTAAACCTTAAATGACATATAAAATCCCCAAGGTTGTCTTTTAAATTAAATCATTGACAGGTAAACAACGACAAAACAACAACAAAAATTAAGTACCTATAATACGCCTGCTGACGGTGTTTAAAGAAGCTGATAAATGAACACAAACCTTCCACATGATTATCAGATTTAAAGTTCAAGGTAACTGCTACCCGTGGTTTTGATCTTTATCTCCAGCCATCCAAGGTGAGGTGAAAACTAATGTAGTATTTCTTTGCACCACAGTCTGCCTGAACTACTATTCCACATGATCTGGACACCTTCTTAACTGCATTATTTTGTCACCCAGTAATCGGACCCAAGTCCACTGTGAAAGTGCTTCTGTCCTAGCTGGAGACCAGCAGAAAGCTAACCCTGGCCAGGAAGGATAGACGTCACTGTTGTCACACCCTCATACTGCGGTGTGTGTTTCTCACCAGTTGAACATTTCTCAGGGTGGGGACACCTTTAATGCGTTACAAGCTTAACCATGTTCCCTGAATTCTTGATGGCATCATTTGTTTTTACAAATGTAAGAATTTTCATTTTTTTTAATCACCCGCTCAATTGGGAGAGACTTGACCAATCCCTACTTGATCCTTGGCATCTCGGTGGCAGTTGTACCCAACAGCGTGGGGAATCCTTGCTTGGCTAGTGACGTGATCCGGGCTTGAACCCACAGCGTCTGGATCTTAGAATTCAAGTGTGATTTGATACAGTGGGGGTTATAGCTGTGCTTTTTTGTTTTCCGAATTGGGGATTTCCTCCCTGTCCAGTGTCATGTTAGATCCATATGTCTAATGTGCCAAAAGTAAAATGTAAACTATTCAGTCCTGAACATGAGGCTTTCTAAATGAAAGCAGACTGTTTTTCCCGTTTTGCTTGAATGGTTGCTATTAGTTTAATGCTGTAAGAATTCTCTTGTCTCTTTCTAAAAGAAACCCACAATCCTCTGTGTAAAGAATTGCTTCTGTCTTGAATGGCCCCAAATTTTTATCCCTCTGTTGTGCTGCTTTTTGCTTTGTGATCATATTTGTGGTGCTATTGATCTTGAAGGATCTCCTGTGCTGACCTGGTGGCTACTTTTCATTTTGAATTCCTGAATCAAGTTCCCATATAACCATTTTGCAGGCTGAACAGATTCAGTTTCTGTCGTCTGTCCGGATAATGACATTCCCTTTGGATCAGAAATTGGGCAGGGAGCTTTCCTTTGTCCTGCCTCAGTGCAATGCTCAGAACTCAGCACTGTTTTCCAGGTTAGCGCTAGGAACATTTGCAATAGACAGTACACATGTTTCTGCATTCTTATGGATTGCACTGGAGAATAAGACTTCAAGAGGCTAAGTGACAGGAGTATGCTACAGGTTCCCCAACCCAGACAGCCATAAACCATTATAACTCAGGGCAACCAGATCAGCATGCTTTAAGGAAAAGATTGCATTATTAGGGGAATTGGGAATTGATAGGCAAAGTGGGAGCTTAAAAGCTGCAGTTGAAATGGAGAAAGACGCTAGCATACCTAGCCTGTCAGAGCACCAGCAAGGGAAAGGCGCCTGCATTGCCCTTTTCCGAATGACCCAGATAGAGTTAGAAAGGAAGTAGGAGAAGTACTGTGAAATTGCAACCACAGTGCGCTCACTTCTTAACACTTAATCCCCTGTTTGCAGGGCACCGTGTTCTGCAGCTTCAGTGTGTTGTCAGGTTTGCGGATCACCATCACACAAGTCAGTCCCGGGGAGATCAGTCGCCATGTTAAACAGGGAAAATATTGCAGTGCTAAAGCATCAATGAATTGCTACCCTCCCAATGTACACTCTAAACACAGAGAATAAAACTTATACATCTTGTGTATGAAAGTGAGATATTGTACTATAGCTCTAACAGTCTAAATAACGGTTACGTATGAAGATGTTCAAACCTCAGGGACTGATTTTGCACATAGTTTTGTGACTCAAAGGGCCCATTCTCTCATTAGTTGGATGTGATAAGTCTGCTTTACTGTGGGACAGCTAGAAAGCTAGAACAGCGTCACGCTTCCGAGAAACAGGAAGCATGCGATATACATTAATAATGAAAACTAGCACTAAGTATCGGGTCAATCTGAGTGAAATTGCCCAATTCCTCATGGGCTGCAGATCTGTGCAAAGCGCAGGTCTCTGTGCAGCTTCGTTGGCGATTAAGGCAGCAGGCAATACAAGCACACGTACTCGTCGGTTCTCTGAGAGAGAGAGGGGGGCAGAGACAGGAGAGATGAGAGTGGGTAATCCAAATGGAGGCAGCTCATTTAATCAGCTGAACAGAGCTCTATTAGGAAATGGTTTTAACAAATATCAATAAGTGCTGTCAATAAAACAGCTCATTCATCAAGGTCAAAAAACATTACTGCAGAATTAAGCCGACAGATATGCAAAATGCGTCTGTGAGCAGGCAATTAGATTCCTCGGATAAAGCTGTTACATCCTCTGAAGCACTAATAAAAACTTCGTCAAATGGAAGTGCTTAGGAAACAAGAAGCTGAGTATAATTAGGCCATATGGACCTGTGTCATTGCGCTAGAACTGCCTCTGAAGTTACTGCATTGCTTTAGTTTGCATGGAGAAGAAAGCTGGCAGCTCTGAGAAGCCTGCCTTGGAATCAGAGTGTGTGCAACGTTGAAGGAAAGCTGTGTGTAACAGAAAAGACATCCCCCGAGAATTTAGCACTGCTGTCTCGATCCCTTTCTAAACCTCGGAATAAAATATCACAAAGCTGAATTTGTTTTTAAAGGCAAATTAAGTAGGTCGCTCACCTGGTGCTTTTTAACCCTGCTCTCCTCCGGATT